ATTCCCGGATGATATTCCTTGCTCCTCGCCTTGTGTACCGAATAGTGATAGTAGAACTCAAATAGGAGATCGATCGCCGTCAGTCATAGAAAACACTCCAGGGAATTCGCCCATCCAGAATAGCATTATTGAAAATTATTGTAATATTACTCCAGTACCATCGCCTTATAATTCTTTTGCCCCATCACCTGTTAATTTAGAGTTAAATGATAGTCCTGCGGTCGCCTCCCCTGCATCTGATATTAATGATATCACATACTCACCGTCCAATAACGCCAAACGTCGTAAGCGGACTTCCATTGCTAAGAAAGATAAAGGAAGGCTAAGAGAACGTTTTCATAAAAAATGGAAGGATCAGGAGAGAAAATATAATGTTAATAGAGGTTTGGAATATGTCAGTAGAAACGGAAGAGTACATAGTAAGAGAACTATGAAAACTTCTTGCCCCGTAACTTGTCGGAAAAAATGCAGTGAGAAATTAGCAGAAGATATTCGGCAAAGAATTTTTGATATGTTTTGGAGTATTGGAGACCACTCAAGACAATGGGATTTTTTGGCAAGATATGCTGTAAGATCTGACAAAAAAAGATTTACTGTGGATAAAGAAAATTCAAAACGTCTTCACACTATTTCTTATTACCTTCCAAGCAGTCAAGGAGATAATATTGAGTCTACAAAAATATCGGTTTGCAAAACTATGTTCCTAAGAACCCTTTCTATTAGTTTTAATTTTGTTTACACAGCTTTAGAAAAGTCCGATAAAGGAAATGGATTTGTTGAAGCAGATCAGCGTGGAAGGCATATTAATCATCCAAAGATTATTAATGAAGATATGGTTCGCAGTGTTATAGACCACGTTGAAGCATTTTCTCCTGTACAATCACATTACACTCGCCAAAAATCGAGTAGAAAATATCTTGAGAGCTCTTTATCCTTCCCAAAAATGTTTAAGTTATATAATGAATGGTTTGATTCTAATAAATACTCTTCTAAAGCGACTACCGTGAGACAATACCGAGATATCATTAATAAAAATATCAATATAGGTTTTCATAAACCCAAAAAAGATGTTTGTGAACAATGCCACATTTACGAAAATAACAAGCAAGTTACACAGACAGATAAAGAGAAGCATGAAGAGCATTTGAAAGAAAAAGAGAAAGCAAGAAAAATTAAAACAAAAGATAAAGAATTAGCATTACAAAATAATGAAATTCTTACAGCAGCATTTGATCTTCAAAAGTGCCTTAATGTACCCCACGGGAACGTAAGTACTTTTTATTATAAACGGAAACTTTCCTTGTATAATTTCACGATATTCAATCTGGGATCTCACCAAGGTTATTGTTTTTCATGGCATCAACAGACAGCAAAGAGAGGTGCAAATGAAATTTCCAGCTGTGTTTTTAAGTTTATAGAGGATACGGTGGGTGAAGGAGTCAAAGATTACCGGTTCTGGTCAGACAACTGTGGAGGCCAAAATAGAAACAGAATTGTGTTCCTAATGTATATGTTAGCTAGTTCGAAGTTTAGTGTAGATATCAGGCATCGGTTTCTAATAGTGGGTCACACGCAAAATGAAGGCGATAGTATGCACGCTTTAATTGAAAGACAGACGAAAAATAAAATACTTTATACGCCTGATCAATGGTATACAGCTTTTAGATTTGCCAAATCCGATGAAAAGCCATACAAAGTTATCGAAGTGTCTCAGGATTTAATAAAAGACTTCAAATCAAAGCTAAAACTTATAAACAACTGGACAACTACTAATGATGGATCTAAAATGCCTTGGAATAAAGTAACGGAAGTAGTAGTTAAAGCAGAAAATCCATTTAGAGTGTTTTATAAAACGAGTTACCAAGACGATGCTTACAAGTGGATAGATTGTGTAAAGAAACTTAAAGCTACACGAAATCGAAGAGAATTGAATATTGATATAGATAATATTTCTTTAGCTTATCAGACACCCATTCCTATAGACCAAAATAAGCACAAAGATTTGATGGATCTTTGTAAAACGTTGGTAATTCCTAAAGAGTATCATTTATTTTTTAATAATTTGATTTCAACTAATTCTAATGCAGCTGATGACAGCGATTCAGACTGATTTTTTAACCTTTAATATTTTTATTTCTTTTGTTAAACTTTATAGCTATTTTTGAGTATTACAATTGCCTAGACTTTATTAGATATTTATGTTATACATTTCTATTCTCTTTATTAATATTGTTTAACGTAAGTTACCATTTTTAGTTGTTAATATCTATACTGACCTACTAGAGAAGTATACCTGTTTTAGTTTTTTTTTTTATTGATTGTTTGTTGTTTTTTATGAAACTTTAATGATACAACTTTGATAATTTGTTATTGTTGATTTATTCAACTTGTAGCTTTTAGTAAGGCCAAAAAACATGTTCCTACTTAATTCTAGTGAAAAATACATAGTGATTTTTTAAAATGCGCTGTTTTTGTTTATGATTCTTCTTCTTCTTCCTAGCCTTTATTAATCCCACATTTCGTAAAGTATTAGAAACAAAATGAGTAATTATAAAGCCTCGTTGAAGTATATTAGTCCAGTATACGTCGAAGTTTCAAATGTTAACATAGCTTAGTACTTTCCTAGTATAATGAGTCAAGTGATGTAATTTCAACGTTTTATTATTAAATGAGACAGAATATCCCGAAAAAAAATCAAAAGTAAGTTCGTATTAATAAAATGACAATCATATTTATGATATTTTAGTGTAAACAATGGATTTTGATGTACAACGTACATGAATATAACTGGTAGTTAAACCATTTTACTATTGAGACTCGCTGGCGTATACCCAGCTATGTACATAAAATGTCATTTAAAAACAAAAATCAGCAAAATCATTTTATACCAAAGGAAGAGCTTGCGATCTTTATTAAAAAAACATTTAATATATTTCGAATTAGTTTGATTTCATTAAAATATAAACGATTTGCCTTCAAATCGCTCTCCTATAAAATTACTATAATGTTAGTTGACTCATTATACTTAGGAGGTATCGAAAAGAAAGAGACCTTCAGGAGCGAAGTTTCGCGAGCAAAAGAAACTGAGACTACAAGAAAGAGAAATAATGGCTGGATCTTTAAAGCACTTCTAGCAAAACAATGATGATTCCACGTTGACTATCGATGCGATCGAATCTCAAGATTCTAAATCCCTAATATCAGTAACCGTGAGTGGACCATCTGAAATTTCAGCAGAGGCGACTACGGTAACATCAGGTCCTGCAACAAGTGGCGGCGGCTGTAGCAGCAAAACAGCTTCTACTGAAGCAGAGCCCGATGAAGCGATGACACCATCCTCGTCTACAGCACTTGAACAATCCACTTCAGGTAATTCAGCTTGTGTAAGAAGTTCGGTAATGTCAGTTACCGAAATACCTGCTGCAAGTGACACTTTCGATGAAGGCTTTAGTAAGGCTTTCGTCGATATAAATCCATCCGACCCCGGTTTGTAGCTCGAAATAATCACCAATTAGATAGCTAGAATATTGGTTAAACGTGGTCTGCCCTTGATAGACATCAGTTTTAGTTTTCCTTGTAATAAAGATAAGAGAAAGTTTTCGTGCAAATACTTTGTAGGAAGTCTAGCAAATGGAGAAAAAGTCGAAAGGACTTGGCTTATTTACTCCATTTCTAAAGATACTGTATTTTGTTTTTATTGTAAGTTGTTTTGTAAAACTCCTAACACTTTTTGTGATACAAACGGAGTATCTGATTGGCAACACTTGTCTTTGCTAATAAAGAGACAGAGTTTTTGGCGGGAACTTGATCAGCGGCGGTTTGCTGCTCCTGTATTATTGTTTAAATAATGGTTTGAAGTGGACTTTGATATGTAAAAGTGGTGCGATTTTGTGTATTAATTGTCTACGCATGTGAACTATTAGTGGAAACAGTGAAACAAGTGCTCTGATGGTGATGGATTCTCAAGATAAGCTGTTTGTTTGCATAGGCGCCTTGAGATACCATCGCCAACTATCAGCTGTCTGCTGGCTCAAGTTGCCGTCAAAATCTCTCAAGGGCTGCACAATGTGACGCATCAACATATTGTGAAGCAGTGAACTATGAAGGATAATTATTTATAATAAACCGAATAAAAATACTCAAGACTTGGCCTAAAGGTCTAGATACCAGGCCATAAACTCCTATAAAAAAAAAAAAAGAGACACGAAACGTCAATTTTACACAATAGTTATATTATGTAACACTTGGGTAAATTTAAAAAAATGTTGGAGACATCTACGACTGTTAATGCTCATCATCTGCGGATTTTAGAAATGGAAAAAATATTGGCGCGACGTGTTGAAAAGAATTATTTAGATTGTTAAGTATTTATTACACAATGCTTGGCATTTCAAGGTTCTTCGATATTACTTTTCGAACATAATAATGGAAATTTTCTAAAAGCTGTTGAGATAATTGCCTCTTTTGATTCAGTGATGAGACAGCACGTTAGCCGAGAGTGTAACTCCCAAACAAAATGTGTTAAAATGACTCATTATTTAGGTGTGCAAATACAGAATGAAATAATTGGATTAGTGTTCCTAAAAAAGATGTGATTTTTAGTTTTGGGTTATTTTCTAGTATTTATAAACAACGTACAGAGGTACACCAATAGTTAATTAAATGCTTTAAAATGGGTGTGAACAAGAATTTATTTTGTTATGATTTTATTCTGTTTGTTTCATTTTGATATTTTGGTCTACAAATATGACTTCTAAAGTTCAGTTTTTTGCTTTATTTCAAACACCTACCTACCTACCTTCAAAAAAATAAATAAAAAACATGATCCAAAATGCCTTAAGGGGCGCCAAAATCCTTTTTTGCACACAGGCGCCACTAGCCCTTACGGGGGCCCTGACTATACCCTTATTTGGATGATCACAGTCTTATGATCAGTATGTGTTATTTTAGATTTTATAAACTCTAATTTTATTTAATGAAGCAGTATTTATTCTACCTACCACACAATAAGCAGCGAAGATTCCATCTTCTCGTCTGATAGATCCGCATTTATTCTGAAATAAGAAAATAAATGAATAAAAGTGTCGTTTTTTCTCTAAACAATCTACTTTTGAACCTCCCCAATACTGCTGAACCTAGGCCTGTTTCTAAGTATAGAGGATCTAGCGTAATCCTCACACTTGGCTTGGTCAAATGCGCATTGGCGATCTGAGTACCAGCTGTCTCACACATTCGACGGTGGTCCTTATAGCTGGTATGGATATTATATGTCAAACGTACAATACCCATATGACATCCGAAATTTAAATTATGTAAAGGGGATAACTTCTTGAAATCAATATCACCTTTGGTGGCCCACAAGTGTGTGTTTTTTTTCATTCTAAGATACACAACCCATATTCCAAAGACCAATGATGGTGAGAAGCTTATCGTTTGCGCTTGCCAACCTGCCCAGTGTGATGATTATTGGCAAATAAATTTTATTTAAACTATTTTTATAATACTGAGGTGACAAATGAACTTGAAGTCCGCCTGATTGTGAGTGGCTACTGCAGCTCATAAACTCCTATAGACAACAAAGGCAGGTGTTGCCACCTCTGATATTATACCAGAATATATCATAAATAAAAAATTTCATTACTTCTTCACCTATTACATAAAAAAATCTTACCCATTAACTATTTTCTTAGGTTTATCAATCGGTTTCTCGCGTCTGGGCGTAGGCGGGCTGTAATAGAATACATTACATTGTGACTAAAATTTCAAAAATATATATAAATAATTTTAATATGAAAAAAAAAACATACATGTCATTAGCTGCAAGCTTGGCTCGTAACCGCTCAACTTCTTCACGAAGTTCCCTGTTAAAAAGATAGACGTTGTATCAAACGTAAACAAAAACATGAATTGACATTTCCAAAGTATAGTTAATTGAACGCATTACAATCTTGAAAACCCACAGTAACAGCGAGATCAGACAACATTATACAAAAATCAACATAATATAAGTTGGACTTAATTAAACCATATTTTATACTTATACAATGTATGTGATTTAATAAATCGATACTGAAGCATCATCAATACTCAAAATAATAATAGTCACCTTCATATTTTTTTGGTTTAATGATACACCCATCCCTATTTAGGTATTTTAACTTTTGGCATAAAATTTAACGTCACAGCCTATATACGTCCCACTGCTGGGCACAGGCCTCCTCTCACTTCTGAGAGGGTTTTATGGCAAGGAAGTGTCCGCCGCGCTGCCCCAGAGCGTGCTAGAGAACTTCACATGCCTTCGAAACATTTTTTTATCTCTCAGACATGCAACCTACATCATAACGATGTTTTTCTTTACCGCCGAGCATATGGTAATTCAGCACATAAAATTGCAATTAACAATTACTTTGGTGCCAGCGAGCATCGAACCCGGGTTGCTCGCGTACTATAAAACCTGTAGCCCCTGAGCTAACACGGCTCACTTTTGGCATATACGAGATGATTCCACCATTTACCAGAGCTCATGAAATGTTCCATGTATCTTCCTGTTTTTCACACGTTGCAATAATTACTAACGGAACCTAATTTTTAATGACTCCCAATTACTTATTTCTCGATACAAAAGATAACTTGCAGTATGATATGATGTAAATGTAATTTATTTATTATTTGTTTATTTATTTATTTTTGTTAATTTTTGTTTATTATAAATAAATAAAATAATGTAAATGTAATTAAACGGACCTGAATAAAAAAAAGTGACTTTCTTCGTAAAAATTGTGCCAGAAAGGTTGTTGCACCATCAGTTTCATCAAATGCAATGGTACATAGAAAAGTACCTAATTTTTTTAATATCTACCATATAGTGTCAAATTCTTTGCTTTCTTACAATGAGTGACACACAAGCTCATAGCACATCTGAATGTAAATGGCTATTTCAGACCATGGACTCCTCCGCAGTCAACTAAGAAGTAATGAAAAACTAAGATGGAATGCCTTTGTTTTAATTGGTGTATCTTTGTATTTGTACTAGTGTTTTAATAGCAATATATTACCTATTCACTCGCAGCAACGGCGGCGATGCGGCAGCACGACGTCCTGAACGCCCGAACAATTTATTACTAAGTGAGCATTTTTTGCGATTTGCTTCTTCCACTTTAGCCTGTAATAAGAAGTCGAAGTTACTTAATATAATTATATTTTATTCCATTTTAAGCAAATGGTAATATTTTCGATTACGTATATAACACCTTTGTATTTACTTTCGTTTCGACTTTTCGTTAACTTCGAAATAAAGCCTAAACAGCCAGTCCGGTGTGTCGTATAAATATCAATCTTACCTGCACAGGGTGATCTCTGCTATTACGAACAAAGCTCTGATCATCGTTCATAATTGCTAAACCGAAGAACGTCATTTTGGTGATAGAAAGCATATTTATATAACATAAACCTATAGATAGCAGCTTTATCTTATAGCGTAGAGTTTAAGTAAACCTTTTAAGATATGCGTCGTTTGACGCACTCTTTAAAAGGTATTCGAGTACATTATCATTCAATCATCTCCAGTGGCTTCAAGGCTATAGTAAAATCTTCATCATTAAACAACATAAACATTAGATTTATTTATTTTATTCGAAACACTAACAATATTTATTTATTGTACTTATTATAAAATTTCAAATCAACATAACTGTGATAGGATATTCGCATATGGAAATGAAAATGTACATAGACCACACCACACGCATACAAAGAAGAAATATATTAAAGTAGTAAGTTTCGTGGACGGGACATATTCCATCGAAGAAATTTGCTTTTTTAATGAAAAAATGCCGTCAGCAAATTGCGACGTATGCGGAATAGGAGTAGATGTTCAACATATTTTGATGGAATGTATCCGGAATGAAGCAAGTTGAAGGTTATGTTTTGGTAGTTATAGGGATTTTCACATTGGCATCTTGAACAGTATTTTGGCTTATCCAATGTCGAAGGAGGTTAAAATGCTGGTCAAGTTAGCAGAATTGATTCTGTGTAGGAAATAGGTGTGGCGATTTATTTGGCCACTTATTCCTTAAGGTTAAAAAAAAGGTTTCATTATTTATAGTCGCGCGCGTTCCTGGCACATGACAAAGTTCTATTTAATAATAAATTAAAAAAAAGTTTCGTAGACAATCTACTTATGTGGAGAATATTATTAATTCATATTATAATTATGATACGAAGCTTCTGTAGTGCCGTGTATTGGCGGTTAAGAATATCCACAATCCCCCCCCCCCAATTCTTCCCGTGGGTGTCATAAGAGGCGACAGACGGAAACTGAGGCAGAGGATGGGCAGCAGCATCTGCCTGATATAAGCAATATTACAATAAAAAAACTGCGGTTGCCAACCCGCTCGCCAAGCGTGGCAACTATGGCAAATATCCCCCCCATGATGAAAGTTACGAAGAGATGGCCCCCAGTCCCCGGCGGTCCCGCTATTCCTGGCTACGGTGGCGACCATGGTAACGGCGGGGCAGAAAGTGCTAAAAATCTCCGGTTGAGGTTCGGTTGCCACTTAAGACGACTCGACTTGGCAACATATTATAATGGCCGCACCCTCCTTGAGGGTTAACGAGAAGATCCTGGAGATGGAAGAAGAGATAGACAAGTTACGCTGGCATATTATAGGATTTTCCGAGGTCCCAAGAGAGGAGGAAGACACGGTAATCCTCGAATCTGACAACTTGTTCTATCACCGGGAGGGCTACCATCTGTCCCAAGAAAGTGTCGGATTTATCGTCCACAAGTATCTCGTTAACAACGTTGTAAAGATTGTGAGTGTGTAGCGTACCTTATACTCAGAATCACCAAACGGTATTCGTTGAAGGTCATAGAGGTTTAGGCATATCCCGATGAGGAGGTGGAGGAAATGAATGAGGATATCTAGTCATGCATTCCTCCAAACCCACTATACTGTGTTAATGGTAGACTTCAATGCAAAAGGCACTAGAGACAACAGTGAGCTGAAGACAAGGAAATTCGGAATAGGGCAAAGGAACCCAAGGGGCCAGCATCTGGCCGAATTCATGGAGAAAGAAGGACTATTTATGATGAACTCTTTCTTCCAGAAGCGGACCCAAAGGAAGGGGACCTGATCAAGCCCGACGGTTCGACAAAAAGTGAGAGTCGAAAAAATAGAGTTGCACTATATGGCAACTGTTCAGTGATGTCTCAGAGAAGCAAGCCGCAATGTTGTAAGGCGTTGCAAGTCCGACGTTCGTAGGGCAGCCAGAAAGCCACTGAAAGCAGAATCATGATATAATCCGCGCGCGTTCTGAATGGAATTCGAGGTGCTAACTTTTGGTACAGACGCACAAGCTAGTCGCCCGTCAGTCTGCAGCACTGCAAACACGTGAAACTATACACATGTTACTAGACGCGGATTTTTGCTCGTCTTTAGTATTACTATTTTCTACTTAGAACTTCCTAATTTCTTCGCTAACCCTACTTAAGGGTAAGGTTTAGAATCAAGTCGCCTGAATTTGGGGGTAGTGGGTGGTGGGGCGAGGGGGAGGGGGAGTTGTAGAGCCACCCCCCACTTCCATTTCCTGCCGGACGTGCTTAGTTTTTTTATAAATTTGTAAAAATCTCATTTCGAGGTTATGTTTTCGTAATGTTTTTGACAATATAAACCTGATTTGTGCGGGCAGAGAACTTTGCAAGGCTCCTATTTCTGGATGGATTATAAAAAAATAACCACGAAGAGGATGGATGGGTCTGTTCGCTCGCTTCGCTCGCTCACTCGACCCCGCCATCCCCTTCTAACCTAACCTGTCCGGGTCGGGGTACCCCAAGTCCCGAGCTCGCTTCGCTCGCTCATGCACCAAATAAAACACCAAAATGTTAACTTCCACCATTTCCAAAAACTTCGTAAAATAGCAAGCAATCGGTCTCCAGAGGGGTAGCGAAGTCGTCCAAAAACAGGAGGCAGATAATAACAATAAGGAGCACATATTCACGTTAACTCGGAAGCAACGGTATGACGATTATGACGCGAGTCGCGAAGTTGAGTATAAACGTAGTGATTATATACTCTTTGGTCGAGTATATCTGTTACTGATTACTGTCAATTTCAAAAATTCCGTTTCAGGTATTAATTAGTGATTTATGAATATTTTTAGATTTTTCCATAGATTTAGTATATACTTAGATTGGCAATGTAAAAGAGAAAGGGCATAGCATATGCTTACGTTAGAACGAGATAGAATGGCTACACCATACACGTACACGATATCAGCCTGACGTCAATGGTTAACGAAACAAATCCCGCTTATTTTCGCGATATTTTTGATTTTGAAGTATTAATAAGTATTTAAAAGGTGTGATTAAATATGGTGATGTGTGCCGTACCTGAATGCAGCAAAAGAAAATACACAAAATTACACATTATACATGTAAGTACAATTTAAATATTTAGCACTCTAAATTCAATATTTCAGAACTAGCACAAATGTTTTATTCACAAATGGATAGGGAAAAATATCGCATTTTATTACGATAATGCTCTAAATGCGTGAGAATTAGATTAAAAATAATAACAAATACGTGAATTCCCGCTATTTCTGATCAAATTTTTCTAAGGATTGACACTATCAATATCATCTTATCGATAATATGTTTATAACAGGCAAAGGTATATCAATAGTATAGTTGTCATCGTAAAATAGCAGCTTAATGCTGCTGTGTTTCGTATGGTGAGTGTAGAGAACCGGAGACCCTTTTTACTGGAAAAAAAGGCATTCTATCTTAGTGTTGGCGACGCGTCTATAAACACATTTCAATTTATTAGTTAACCGATTACGAATAGCTTCTAAAAGCGAAAATTTCAAGTCATAATATTCTAATAAGAAAACGCTTAGTTGAATCTTAAAGAAATGTCGAATTAATAATTTGAAAGTCTTGGGTTCGATTCCCAGGCCGGACTAGTGCGTCGTTTTCTTAGTAATATTTTCTTAATAAAATTCATAAAGGGAATTTTTAAGATATAAGTTATGTTTCCGGGTTCAGTTCCCGGTTGAGACCACCTTTCCAATAATATTGATAATTTAAAGAAATATTAAATTAAAGACCAGGATTTGTTCCCCGGTCGAAATGATCACTTTGTGAATCGCAATCGCAATCGCCAATCTAATGTATACTATATCTATGATTCGCACTATTTCATAGTTGGATAAGATGGTAGATGATAATCCGACATGACTAGAGAGATCAGGCGCAGGGCTAACATTCTTATGTGCTTCCTGAAGCTCAGTAATAATGTTAATATTTTGACTCTGAGCTGCTACTGAGAATTTCATGAAAGAAAAACTCAAAAACTATTTTTTAGGCCTAAGCCGGAATTCGACTCCGGGACCTCATGATCAGCAGTTGCATTTATAACCACTATTCCGCCGAGGCAGTCATAACGCGCCAATGACGCGCAAACGCGACGAATCGAACGACCAATTGCGGCATAGTCAACGACGTCAGTTTGCTGAATTTATGTAGTTCTTGACTCCGGGCTGCTACTATGCATTTCAGATTTTGGGCCGAGCCAGGATACGAAGCTGGTAGTACACGATCATCAGTAGTGCTGTGGAGGCAACGCGTACCTGCAGGAAGTCGATGAGCTTGGCCTGCTGGCGGATGGTGGCGTCGGCCTTGGTGTCGCGCGTGCGCCACCACGCCGCCGCCGCCTCGCCCGCCTCGCGCGCCGCCGCCGCCTCCTCCTGCGCGCCACACACACACGCGCACACACACACACACATGATACAACACGTACCTGCAGGAAGTCGATGAGCTTGGCCTGCTGGCGGATGGTGGCGTCGGCCTTGGTGTCGCGCGTGCGCCACCACGCCGCCGCCGCCTCGCCCGCCTCGCGCGCCGCCGCCGCCTCCTCCTGCGCGCCACACACACACGCGCACACACACACACACATGATACAACACGTACCTGCAGGAAGTCGATGAGCTTGGCCTGCTGGCGGATGGTGGCGTCGGCCTTGGTGTCGCGCGTGCGCCACCACGCCGCCGCCGCCTCGCCCGCCTCGCGCGCCGCCGCCGCCTCCTCCTGCGCGTCGCACACACACGCGCACACACACACACACATGATACAACACGTACCTGCAGGAAGTCGATGAGCTTGGCCTGCTGGCGGATGGTGGCGTCGGCCTTGGTGTCGCGCGTGCGCCACCACGCCGCCGCCGCCTCGCCCGCCTCGCGCGCCGCCGCCGCCTCCTCCTGCGCGCCACACACACACACACACATGTTACAACTTATGTCATTACGCTTTATGTACTTACATCCTTTAATTCCTGATAATAAGCAAAAACGAACTGTATAATAATAAAGTAACATTTCTCCACCGAATAGCAGACAAGGGAACTCTAAAAGCCTTCTAACTTAAGGGAAGGAAATACGCGCCTTAATTACTTGAGTATCTAATATGTGTAAATGAGGCTTTCGACGAGATACCGAGGAGCATACTGTTTGTATGTACTAGTGCGTCGACGAGCACTGCCTGCACCTTGCAAGCGCCTTAAAATTTAGTTAATTACTTGACTGCTTTATAAAAGTATTAAATGCGTAGATGAACCTTAATTGTGCGTTCTGAATTACAACGCATCGCGCACGTAGATTGCGGAGCTTAGAAATAAGCGGATTGCTGTCCTTAGTACGCGCCGAAGGGCGCCTACGTGCGCACGCGTACTATCATTACGCTGTGCTTATCATACCTGTATTCATAATGTCACTATCAAATATTAAACGATTACAGTATCTATTCATTATTTAAAAACGGACGTATTACCTCATAACAGACAACTGCAATAATTATTGTTCTTCATTGTACAAAGTTAACATATATATGATCAATTTGTATGGTATATTTTATAAAATCTTCTGTAATATCCTACGCCATTTGTATAAATATTTTTTGATGTCTCAGGGTGCTTGGATATGTAAATAAACGGTTTTTTCATCACCGCCGTGATAAAGCCTTCCACAGGAAACTCTTCACTTGACATGATGCTCTTGAATGCATTATAAGACAGATAGAAGACACGCATTGACAAGCGGATTCGCCAGCATAATGCGCCGGATCGTGTGTGCGCCCGTTTGCAGTCCAGACAGGTTCAAATATGTCGAGTATTTGTTTCGTGCGCGGAGGATAACGCATGCACGATGCGCTGTGACTTAGGACGCACACTTCGTGAGACGGAGCACATACTATATGTATGAACGTGTGTGTGTGCACCTGTGCATCGGCGAGCGCGGCCTGCAGCTGCAGCGCGTGCGCGTGGTGGTGGTGCGCGCGCGTGCGCAGCGCGGCGCACTCCTCCTGCAGGTCGCGCAGGCGTCGCGCTGCACTCGCCATCGCTGCCGCCGCGCCTGCACTCTCGCCTTCCAGTTGTGCCACGCGCGCCTCCAGCTCCGCCACACGTGCCTCACGGTTCTCCAGACGTTCCTGCACGTAACGCGTGTCCATAATGAATGCAATCGTAAATGCTTGCTAATCCAGTGCTAGCGTACTTGTACATTATTCAAACCTTTTTTTGGCCGGCATTTTTATTAATTTTTTTGAAGTGAAAACGACATTAAAAAGAGACAAACGTGTACGTCTATAGGATTTAGCCTGCGAGAGAATTAGATAGAATACAGTGTTTCCTTTTATCTTGGAACAACTTCTTTTTGTACCTTCGTAATTTATGTTTATAAATATTTATCATTATATTGTATTATAGTGTTGTATAGTATAAATAATTTGATGAGCAATGATTATAATTCGTGTGATACACTTATCAGATGACGCGGTATGTAATGTAAGTGCGCGGGTGCGGGTGGGGGTGCGCGGGTGCGTGCGCGGCGCGCGCCTGCTCGCCGCGCTGCGCCGCGAGCCCGGCGGCCGCGCCGCGCTCGGCGCTATGTATTGTATGCGTGTGCGTGTGCGTGCGTACGTACGCGCAGCAGCTGCAGCTGTGCGTGCGCGGCGCGCGCTTGCTCGCGCGCCTCGTCACCGCGCTGCGCCGCGAGCCCGGCGGCCGCGCCGCGCTCGGCGCTATGTATTGTATGCGTGTGCGTGTGCGTGCGTACGTACGCGCAGCAGCTGCAGCTGTGCGTGCGCGGCGCGCGCCTGCTCGCGCGCCTCGTCACCGCGCTGCGCCGCGAGCCCGGCGGCCGCGCCGCGCTCGGCGCTATGTATTGTATGCGTGTGCGTGTGCGTGCGTACGTACGCGCAGCAGCTGCAGCTGTGCGTGCGCGGCGCGCGCCTGCTCGCCGCGCTGCGCCGCGAGCCCGGCGGCCGCGCCGCGCTCGGCGCTATGTATTGTATGCGTGTGCGTGTGCGTGCGTACGTACGCGCAGCAGCTGCAGCTGTGCGTGCGCGGCGCGCGCCTACTCGCCGCGCTGCGCCGCGAGCCCGGCGGCCGCGCCGCGCTCGGCGCTATGTATTGTATGCGTGTGCGTGTGCGTGCGTACGTACGCGCAGCAGCTGCAGCTGTGCGTGCGCGGCGCGCGCTTGCTCGCGCGCCTCGTCACCGCGCTGCGCCGCGAGCCCGGCGGCCGCGCCGCGCTCGGCGCTATGTATTGTATGCGTGTGCGTGTGCGTGCGTACGTACGCGCAGCAGCTGCAGCTGTGCGTGCGCGGCGCGCGCCTGCTCGCGCGCCTCGTCACCGCGCTGCGCCGCGAGCCCGGCGGCCGCGCCGCGCTCGGCGCTATGTATTGTATGCGTGTGCGTGTGCGTGCGTACGTACGCGCAGCAGCTGCAGCTGTGCGTGCGCGGCGCGCGCCTACTCGCCGCGCTGCGCCGCGAGCCCGGCGGCCGCGCCGCGCTCGGCGCTATGTATTGTATGCGTGTGCGTGTGCGTGCGTACGTACGCGCAGCAGCTGCAGCTGTGCGTGCGCGGCGCGCGCTTGCTCGCGCGCCTCGTCACCGCGCTGCGCCGCGAGCCCGGCGGCCGCGCCGCGCTCGGCGCTATGTATTGTATGCGTGTGCGTGTGCGTGCGTACGTACGCGCAGCAGCTGCAGCTGTGCGTGCGCGGCGCGCGCTTGCTCGCGCGCCTCGTCACCGCGCTGCGCCGCGAGCCCGGCGGCCGCGCCGCGCTCGGCGCTATGTATTGTATGCGTGTGCGTGTGCGTGCGTACGTACGCGCAGCAGCTGCAGCTGTGCGTGCGCGGCGCGCGCCTGCTCGCGCGCCTCGTCACCGCGCTGCGCCGCGAGCCCGGCGGCCGCGCCGCGCTCGGCGCTATGTATTGTATGCGTGTGCGTGTGCGTGCGTACGTACGCGCAGCAGCTGCAGCTGTGCGTGCGCGGCGCGCGCCTGCTCGCGCGCCTCGTCACCGCGCTGCGCCGCGAGCCCGGCGGCCGCGCCGCGCTCGGCGCTATGTATTGTATGCGTGTGCGTGTGCGTGCGTACGTACGCGCAGCAGCTGCAGCTGTGCGTGCGCGGCGCGCGCCTGCTCGCGCGCCTCGTCACCGCGCTGCGCCGCGAGCCCGGCGGCCGCGCCGCGCTCGGCGCTATGTATTGTATGCGTGTGCGTGTGCGTGCGTACGTACGCGCAGCAGCTGCAGCTGTGCGTGCGCGGCGCGCGCCTGCTCGCGCGCCTCGTCACCGCGCTGCGCCGCGAGCCCGGCGGCCGCGCCGCGCTCGGCGCTATGTATTGTATGCGTGTGCGTGTGCGTGCGTACGTACGCGCAGCAGCTGCAGCTGTGCGTGCGCGGCGCGCGCCTGCTCGCGCGCCTCGTCACCGCGCTGCGCCGCGAGCCCGGCGGCCGCGCCGCGCTCGGCGCTATGTATTGTATGCGTGTGCGTGTGCGTGCGTACGTACGCGCAGCAGCTGCAGCTGTGCGTGCGCGGCGCGCGCCTGCTCGCGCGCCTCGTCACCGCGCTGCGCCGCGAGCCCGGCGGCCGCGCCGCGCTCGGCGCTATGTATTGTATGCGTGTGCGTGTGCGTGCGTACGTACGCGCAGCAGCTGCAGCTGTGCGTGCGCGGCGCGCGCCTGCTCGCGCGCCTCGTCACCGCGCTGCGCCGCGAGCCCGGCGGCCGCGCCGCGCTCGGCGCTATGTATTGTATGCGTGTGCGTGTGCGTGCGTACGTACGCGCAGCAGCTGCAGCTGTGCGTGCGCGGCGCGCGCCTGCTCGCGCGCCTCGTCACCGCGCTGCGCCGCGAGCCCGGCGGCCGCGCCGCGCTCGGCGCTATGTATTGTATGCGTGTGCGTGTGCGTGCGTACGTACGCGCAGCAGCTGCAGCTGTGCGTGCGCGGCGCGCGCCTGCTCGCGCGCCTCGTCACCGCGCTGCGCCGCGAGCCCGGCGGCCGCGCCGCGCTCGGCGCCCACGCGCTCCGCCTCCGCCAGCCGCGCGCGGCACGACTCCAGCTCACTGCGCATGCGCTGCGTCTCAATCTGTCGTAAAACCAATACGCGTACATGCACTCGTTGCACTATTTAGATAAACAGACCTACTTGGCCAAAAGAGCCGAATTGACTCGATGTTTCGGGGTATTCCTAGTAGTCTTACCAAGTAGTGTTACTTAATTTCAACATGTTGCATCGCAACAAAACTATCAATACCATCCATACCATCTGGATGATTGGCAAACCACAACTCTGCTACTCAGAAATATCAGTGCTACACCTAATTTATCAGTCTAAAATAATTTTGTCATACTGGTAATTAGTTATCTTTAGATTAGAATTTCCAAGATGTAGAAGTATAAGGCAATAATCAGTAAAAGGTTCAAATACAAAAGTTCGTTGTACTGAACTAGAACTTTTGACCATAAAATGATCTAACCAACTAACTTTTTATAAGATTTAAATAGTCTGATGAATAACCTGTGATGTTCTGCGGGAGGATATCAAGATTAATATTTACTGTAAAAATAATATGTTCTGAGTTTCACTTAGTTATTTTTCTATAGTCGCGGTACGCCATTGGGTATCTAATACTTAGTGATCTATATGTAGCGAAAAAAAAATTTATTTAGAATTTTTAGAACTAAACCACTGCCATAATTGATTTTAAGTTTATATATTTGTACATTTGGAATATTTTCTTTTACGTATAGAACAACACCGTCATTCTGATTATGGTTTATTTTAATATTAAATGAATTATAATTATTAATTACAGGCATAATTGTGTTTTCGTTAATCCAACACTCCGTCAGGATTGTTATATCTATTGGAATTTCAAGTTCAGCTATTAAGAATGTTTCTAGGTTACGTTGAATACTACGAATGTTAACAACTGTCATAATATTCAATGAATCACTACCTAAATTTTTTAAATCAATATCGTGTCTAAAGCTTGCAAGATCATTTACGATTATACAAATGATGTCACCGGCGGTGTCAATTTTACTAATTTTATCTAAATCTAAGCTAATAGTAAAACTGAATTTGAATAAATAAAATTGAAGAACTGCAGAACTCGTATACAACAGTCATAAAAAATGTTTGTGAGTAAGTATCAGGCGGTTATATAAATCAATAAATTGTATTGCATAATGAGTTATATTGAATTGTTTATGGATAATAGTTTGTGTCAGTATTTGTGTGAGAGCTTGGAGCAGTGTGAGAGTATATATGAAAAGAATTTTATTGGCGTTCGTGTAATGTGTTTGTGTATAAAGCAGCCGCAGCGACACGTTATTCGATATTACAAAAGTAAAATAAAAATATTTTTACAAAATTAATTCAAGTAGAACAATATTATTTTAAATTTTTTTTTAAAGAAATTAGTGGAGTGAATTAACTTAATAGCACAACAGATTCTTAAATCTGACCTTGATAAGACTCAACTTATTTACAAACAACACTGATTGATATTTACAAAATTATCCTACATGATTGTTATTTGCACAAAATTTACCTTTTTAGCTATATCGCAGTAATTGTTAAAGATGTCTACCGTGTTTTTTCTAAACACAATCTAGCACGTCTTTGTAAATTGTTTGTTAAATTTTTACTAACACCGTGCTTCTTCTGTGTACACTAATGGTTTAGTTCGGCCTACAAATAAAAGTCTAGAGGTGGTAGGTCTGGTGATCTCACCGGTCAGTTCACAGGTCAACCGCGACCTATCCACCTATCATCGAATTGGCTATCCAGATATGCGCGCATAGATCGTTCGTAATAAGCTGGACATGGATGGAGTTTGTGTGGGTTTTGGAAAATTCACCAGTGCTCAATGTGCACGTTGTCAATTTCAACGCGGGTAAATATCGACTCGTCACACCGTCTAAGTTTTCACTAGACAAGACATAAAATCTCACCATTGCTAGGTACTCGACATTAAAGTATTGGTACATGTTTACATTAACTAACAGCAGGCGGCCGGTCCACGCGGAAACAAACAATATGACGTAACGCCGTAGCTAATGGCAGGTCACTGAAATGGAAGCGCGGGTAGCCTTGCGCTTGCGACCTTGCGAAAGGACAACGGCGGGTGCGACGAGTGCGTTACATATTCATTGTTTTATTGCCGCTTGTAAAGTAGGGTGCATATGAATTGAATTTCGATAGCTTTTTTATTGATTTAATGTCAAAACTGTTATGTTTTTAGTATGGAAAGTTTACTTCAAATTTAATTGTATTTATTGATAGATCAATTTCATAACTCGAATTTAAAAAAAAAAACTGTAAAATATCAGTGCCATACCAAAGCAGCATGCAAGCTGTATAGGAGCTGTATTGGAGTTCCTTTTTACACTACAGGGTGCTTTTACTGGCTGTACAAAGGCTGTATAAGCGCTTATATAGCTCTTATAAGTAAAAAATTGGCACAAATTATACAGTTTTATGCGTTAGTAGCGCTGTACAGTAGCTCTACAAGCACAAAAGGGGCTGTATAATAGGTGTTATTTGGAGTACAAGGAAACTATTAGACTACAAATACTATCTTATAAGTATCTTTTATAGATGAACGTTCTAAATTGGTGTTTGTACGGTATCACAAATGAAATTATGACAAAAATAACGTAATAGGTTCTGTTTAGGCCCAAACATGGGCATTTGAAACGTCATCCAATCGCGTTTGACTCAGTGCATCACCCGATGGTGTCGAGGTGAGGTAAACGCCGCCGGGGGGGGGGGGGGGGGGGGGGCGTGTGCCGGCTCCCCGTTATTCCGTCCGGTGGGCTGAACTGTAGCTTGACAGCAGCGGCTCGGTCAATTAGCGTATTTATTTGTGACCGCTGCATCGGTTTCGCGCGGCCAGGTTTTTGGTTTTGGTGGTCTAGAATTTGAGTATTTGTGCGCGTTTAATTTACTATTGAATATTTGGGTGTCGAGTAGACCCCCTCGAATTAGATTGTCTAAATGGTACGTTTCCTGACAAGAGGCTTGTATTGAATTTGAGTGATTAAAGTAACTTCGTTGCAAGTAATTTACATCAATTTGTATAGTGATTGCATGTTGAAATGCATTTTGCAATATTTAACTTGCTAGTGTGACGTGGAACCTTGCGCTCACGCCGAGTGGACAGACTGTCTGGAATTTGATGCTCGCATTCCATTTCGAGGGCGTGGCCCGGTTAATTGTTTTTGTAAGTTAATGTTGAATTGTACCGTCACGTTAAGTGCCTTTTGTGTGTTGACTATGTAGTTAGTTTTGCGTGTCAGCGAGGCTGATTTTGAGTTCTTATTGCGGGCGTAGCATTTAATATCGTACGAAAGAATTTAGCTTGTCGTGGGGAACGCTGGACTTGGAGACTCAAGAAGTGGCTGCGTTCTTTCCCGTGATTGTAAATTGATGCTACGTGAACCCGGAACCTTGAATATTGAACTTTGAACGACGTTTTGTTACTTGTGTCGTGTGTCATTTGTTTTAATTTCGAAGAACGTTGAGTTGGTTGACTGTGAAGTTAATTAAATGTACAATAAAGTGGATAAACTGAAATAGTGAAATGAAGGCAGAAATTTTCCATTAGAGATCTACGACTGCAGGAAGCGCACATTGGGAGAACATCAGCTCCGGTGGATTTTCTGTCCGATTAAATCGGGCCGTCAGGTCACATATATAAACACTACTACACATACTTAACGCCTGACCGCGCCTTGGGGTCGGTTTTCGGTTTGGAACGAGGTAAGTTCTTATTAATTACCTAGCCTTACATCTATTGTGTAGGTTAATTGTCCATAGGCATTTTGAGCCCCACCCTTAGTTGTCCGTCGAATCTACAGCTGTATGGGCCCCTGTATGGTCGACCTTTGTCGGGGCAACTAGGGGCGTGTACATTGTTGGTAGCAGAGCGTGGTGGATTGGTTCTCCAATCGCCCGGCCGTAATATAGATAAAAATAGTACATAAAAAAAATTACATATTTTTTTTGTTTGTTAGCGGGTAGATTTAGGAACCACGCCCGTTAGGTTGCGCAAGCGGGATTGTAGTTTACGGTTAGGTACCGTCACGCGTTGGGTAGGTAGATATTTATTGTTATCACGTAATCGGATAATTATCGTTGTCGTATAATTATAGTAGATTAATTGTCGAAGGGTCGGTCGTCTGAGCGAGGCATCTTTGCTTATCGACTTTAGTTTGTATTTGTAGTGTAATTTGTATTTAATTAGATAAATAGTAATATGTATTCAACATGATTCGATAGAAATTGTATTTGTCATTTGTTAATTTGATTTGTTTTTGTGCCGCGTATTAATTTGAATTTAGTAGTGATGCCATCGCACAAGCTACCGATGCGTCGCCTGAAGGCGGAGCTGCGCTGGGCCGCTAATGCTCATATTTTGATAGGGCGATCCGATCGGGTCCATAGTTTAGGGAAGCGGCTCGAGCAGGTCGATGCCCGAAGGGCTGTAGTGGAGGAGGCTTGCACAGAGCTTTTGGCCTCGGATGCAGAACAGGGAGTCCTAGACTCCTGACTCGCGAACTACGAAAAATTTTTTTCGCTCACGGACGATTTGATCGAGGCGGGGGCCAAGTATGCTAATGAAGCACGTGAAGCTCGGCTGAGTGGCCTGGCCGAGTCCTCTCGGAAGCAGCCTACTCAGCCGGAGCTGTTGGGATGACTCCCAACTCTGGACCTGCCAAGGTTCTCCGGGGTCCTCTCCGACTGGATGACTTTTGTTGGGCTTTTTGATAGCCTGGTGGACGCCCGGAGGGACTTGACACCAAGCCAGAAGATGGCGTACCTCCTAGCCTCACTGGAGGGGGAGGACCTGGGCGTCGTCGGCCATTTGAGATTGTCGGACGACGCCTACCAGACCGCTCGGGACCTCCTTACCGGAAGATACGCCAACGTCCGGCAAATCGCGGACGAATACGTTAGGCAGCTTCTAAGCCTCCCACTGCTTAGGGACCGGGCCAGACTACGCCCGGACATCGTGAATCCAGTCTTGGTGGCCTGTAATGCTTTGAGGCGGCTGTATTTACCGGTGGATGAATGGT